ACATCTATATAGGAGCAGCATCGTCACCCTTGTTGCTCGCTCTTGATTTGGGTTAAAGAATGCCTCCTGTTCTCATCTTACTTCCATAACATCTCCAAGGGCAGGTTACTAGATCTCCTTTACTTCCTGGAACTTTGGCACATCTGACTACGAGATGTGACCATGCACATCATCTCAGGGAAGGAAAATGCTTTTTCCTGAGATCTCATGAGTTTACAGATGAGAATTCACAGCAATACTCTGCTGATATAACCTTCCCATGATGCAACGCTTGGGCATGATTTGTGCCAAAGTGGACCAGGAAGAGGAAATAAAGAAATTGTAAGTAGAAAAAAAAAGAGATGTTTGTTTGGCTAATGAATGTAAGATGATTTCATATCAGCATGCAGAGCTGTATGCTCATGTGATTTTTAATCAAAGGGGGTAAAGGTCCACTATAGTGTAGTCACACAGGGGTGAACTAGGGAGGCAGATGATAACGCTCGACATTAGACACCTGCAAGTGTAGCCACCATCTTTGCCCAGTCTTCCAGATCCGTCATCTTTGGTCATCTTGACTGGCAGGCTGAAAATGACACAACTGTCTTAATTCAACCAGTCACCAAGGCATGTTGAGATTGTACATTAAAGTGACATTAAACCCTCAGATTTTTCAACATAAAACAATACTGTAATGTGCGCCTTACTGTAATCCATGGTTGTTTCCCTTCTCTTTGCTGCTCTTCCTTTTAAATCTGTATCTGTTCTCATGCTCTGCAGAACTTCTGTTTTGCAGCAGACTGCCTTGTTTCAGGAATGGATACACGGTGTCTGTGTATAGGTTTGTATAGGTTTGTAACCTGAGCCAGCACTACAGGAAGAGGCCCTGAGCTGAAAAGGGAAGTTCTCCCCAAGCATGAGAAGACATGAGGATTTAAAATGAAGAGCAGCAAAGAGAAGGGAAACAACCATGGATTACAGTAAGGCGCACATTACAGTATTGGTTTATGTTAAAAAATCTGAGGGTTTAATGTCACTTTAAGCTAGGCATGCACACCTCCGTGTACATTCTAGAGAAGTTTATGAAAAGGAAGAAAGAAGCTTTTATTGCAGAAGAGACAGAAACCTCTCGTCTAGCTTTTTCTAAAAGCTACAATTCTGCATAAACATGCAGTAAATACACTTATAAACAGCCCTTACTGAACCCCAGAGCTGCAGACACCATGGAGTAATTAATCCTCAAATATAACATAGGCACTGCAACTACAGCTCATCTCAATTTTGCATAAGAAACAACCTACAGTAAGTCAAATAAAATTCTATAGTATTCGAAGAATACAATCAACTATTGACAATATTAGGAGTGTGTGTAAAATCAAGCATGACGTACAGTCAACTTTGCTTGCTTTTATTTTGATCACCATTACTTATTAAATTACAAACTCGTCCTTTAATAATTACCACTACCCCCAAGTGCAGAGTGCCCTGTTAATGCTTACCTTACTTCCAGCAAACTTCACTGTGCAGCCTTGCCCGGCACAGAACAGCCTTTCTTCCAAAAACTTCCCCAGCACCAGCTCTTAAGCTATACACAATGCGCATTTCTGCCGTTCTTGATGAAGTGGCTGAAATTGGTACAGCGGGTGCCCCTGTCGACAACCATTACACCCAGCATCCCTTGATGAGAAGGCCAAAGGAGCCAATTGGAGAATCTTCGGCCGAACAGACATTGCAGCCAATCAGCTGCGAGCACCCCGCTGGTTTGCCGACATTAGCCAACGGCTGCTATCACAATACAATGGAAGCAGTGATGGGGGATTTGTCCAGCAGGGATGGAGGAATCAGTTATATTTCTTCCATTCAGCCCACAGGTTGAACGAAAAAAAATTACAATGTAATCCTAGCTTTAGTGTGTAGAAACACCACAGGCCCATTCATTCCTATAGGCGAGTCATAGTCTACAGGACGGCAGGAAAATGGTGAACCTGTAAGAATGAACAGAGGTGCGGTGCATGTGCACAATAAGAGGAGAAGCTGGTGGGGATGCTTTTGGGAGAAAGACACTGACGTCAGGCGGGGATGCTTATGGGACAAAGACACTGACGTCAGGCAGGGCTGGGCATTGAAGATTTACCAAGGCCCTCCGTGGGATAGAGGAATATATTAAAGAACAACTTCACTAAAATAGAAGAAAAAACAACACAGCTGTCTGTCTTTACACTTGTGTTTTTAATGACAAAACTGAGTTTAGTTAAAACTAATTTTAATATAAAAGTTTTGGAGTTTAAAATCATACTGCATTTATCATTGGCTACCCTGATACAAGAGTCTACTACTTCTTTAAGATCCATGAAAGATTAACCATGAGAAACTTCCTTGTGTGATATTTTTGAATTCCAACCCAGTCAGAAGTCCCAGGGTCTGGTCTGGATCGAGTCCCTGACTCCATTGTGAGACCAGCTGGAAGCACAGATGTGTGTTTTGTCAGCACCCAAGTAATGCCAAGCATTGGGGATCAGCATTGGCCAATTTGCAGGCCTCTTCACCCACATTATACAAGGCCTGAACATAACTAGAATTATGTTAGACTCAACACAATCACATCAATCTAGAAAGAAGACATAATTAACAGAAAATTCTCTCTATTTACGCAAGTAAGATGCATTCTACAGCCTGCTCTTTCAAACTAAATTATACTGGTTGCGTAAATGCCTTTATAATGTCTTGAAAATACTCTTCCTTTTGTGTCATGCTAAATTAACCAGCGGTGTCTTCGAACGGAGGGAAAAAAAAAAAAAACCTTCAAAGCAGGCCTGTGTTCAGTATGACTGGCAGCAGCTTTACAACTCATCTAAATTGCTTAAAAATCCAAGAGTACGTGACATCTCTAGCCATTGTGGCCCGATGATTCTGATGATTAAACACAACATACTCTGAATATATTCTTGGGTAACCCTCCCTTTAGGGCTCCTTATGGCTTAGTGTCCAAGCAGGACACAAAAAAGGCTTCCTAGCATTGGTATGTCATCATTATCCTATTTGGGATGGACACAGAAAACAAAATTTGAATAATTTTAAGACTATTTTCTTTGAAATATCAACAGCGAGGACATATCAAAGAGGACATAATAATGTCAGCAGGTTACCATAACAGTCAGGCAACAAAAAACAATAATACAGATCAGGTAAGTCTGAGAAACGTTAGAAGTCCTTATATGCATACTTGTTTTGGGTCTGTGACTCAACATATGTAAACCAAAGGTTAATTTTGAAAACATTTTTTTTTTGCCCTTATAGATGTTTCTTTTGTGCAGGTTCATAGGATTATATTGCTTAGAATAGATGACAATGCACAGATATGGGACAGTTTTTATTAAGTGAATCCTAAAGCGAGCATGCAAACCTGGAAGTCTGCCCTTCTGATAGATGTAAACTACTGTCATTTAACTCTTCAGCATTAGTAATAATACAAGCAGCCAAAGTTACATTAAAAAAGTTTTAAAAAATAAGGTTAAATAAATGTAAAAACACCCCCTAAAAATGTTTTCAAGTGAAACACAACCAGATGCACCTACATATGAAAACAATGAGTGCACCACACATATTGGGTGTCACCGCACATGCTGGCAAGAGAGCAATAATTTCAGGGCCATTATTCAGTTTTCTCTAAATAGATGGCCTCTAAAAACTCAGTGTCATCCTATAGACAATTTTGGTTACAGTAGTGTTTCTCCATTTCAGGGGGCACACATAGATTTGGTAACTTGGTATCTATTTACTCGGTGCAACCTCATCTTTAAAATTTTATTAAAATTAGGTAATATTTTGTTATTTTGGGTGTATTTGAACTAAAATAATGCAGGTCTGTTATTTACTCAAGTTTGGTAAATTGCAATAATATCATGCAACATAAAAAATTGCAATTGCCACCATTTTATTCTACAGGGACTCTGTTAAGGAAATATATAATTTCCTAACATAATAATACATAGCATGTGTGCTAAAAAAAAACAACAGTGAAAGGGTTAAAGGAAACCTGGAGGCTTTCTGCGCTGATCTTTCCTTTTACAAATGCTAATAATTGGCTATCATACTGACTCCTCTGCTGTCAATACTTTAAGCCACTGACCTGAAACTTGTGACTTTTCTGATCTGGAAAAGAACACCAGGTCAGCTTTTCCTGGAGAAGGTAACAGTGGCAGTCACTGTAGTCCTCTTACTGTAGAGTGACGTTGAACACGTTGTCAATTTGACCACTATTTATATGTAAACCTTCAACCTTGATTTGCTCAGGCAAATCAAGCAAGTTTGCAAGTATTACCTTTAGATTTCCATTCCTGGGAATACTTTCTGGTCACTCAACCTGAAATATCCTGCTTGACAAAGGAATCCGTCATGTCCCCTCGTAGCACCGTCGGTCAGAGTAAATCTCCCGCTGATTGGAAGTTCTGGTATTGGGGTAAGTATCGGAGCACTTGTGCTTGAGTACGAGTGCTCGCCCAAATAATCAGTATCAGCACCGATACTAGTATCGGTGCATCCTTAGTAATAAGTAAGCACATCAGTATCAGGGATACTGTTCTATTCTTCAGACAACTGCTGTTTTTTAAAGAAGTGCTATGCTAGAATAATTATTATGAGGAGAAAATGTAATTAGATCTACAGCCACAATGTTTCAGTTTTGAACAGAGTGGAAAAGGATTAGAACCTCCATCAGGTTTTTATTGGTATCCATGTCGCTGCTGGGAACAGTCACCGTTTCTATTCCTCCTGGTGAGGATTATAACTTGGGCACAAGGTGATGGGAAATCCAAAATTATAAAATGGTCACCAGAATAGGATGCAAGGGGAAATATTCCCATGGGGACATCAATTCCAGTGACAGCTAAGAGGGGATCTCCCTCAATTTAGAGCCTTTTGAAGGGATATTCCTTACTCTGTCTTTAGATTTATTTAACAAGGTGCCCGATTGTTTAACTGACTCCAGATTCCACTGAGCAGACCTAAAGAACACCACTTACTTGTTCGCAGGACTGAAGGGGTAACCTCGATTTCACTTGTTGCCTGGTAAGGATGGAAGGCTGACATGCTGTTCGTTCCAAGCTCGCTGCCAAATATCTCCGGGCTCTGAGTGCCAGTGGAACTAGCACTTGTGCCATCTCCGCCATGATGTGGATCTTGTTCTTCATATATAGCTACAAGCTGTTGATGGAAGAAAATACAACCTGTCATTTTTATGAAGTGGCAAACGCAGCTCAGCAAGATGAAAACAGACTTTACACTTTCCAATAGAAGCCACTAATAAGGAAACTGCTGACAATGTTTTGAGATATAAAACCAGTTGTACAAATACATTTTTCTTCTGCAAAGTAAAAAAAATAAAAAAAAACTATAAATGTTGTTTTCAATGTATTTGTTTATTTAAAATAGACCTCACTTGCACATGGACTGTAATGTAAAATACCATTCTGAATAATAAAACACATAGTTAACAAGTGACAAAGATTTCCAGGTACAATCCCTGGAATCCACCCTGAATTTAGTTCCATGTCATAACTTTAGCATCCACGCCAACCACCACCAATCATCGTTTATGGAGGTGCAATACTAGCATTATAGGATGCAGGTATATGTGGTGTGTACATTCAGGGATTTTTGCACTATTTTGTGATGGCAGGTTGCATTTAAAATTTGGAAATTTATTTCCTGGCTGGGGTGGATTAATGCACTCAAAATGGACATTGTCCCTAGACTCCTATATCTCTTCCAGACAATACCTATTGCCCTGCCATCTGCCTACCTGAAACAGGTCCAGCGGGCCTTCACTAAGTTCATTTGGGGCACCTCACGCCCGCGCCTTAGCTATCGATCACTGGCACTTCCGAACGCGGTGGGTGCGAGCGCGCCGGATATCTTCCTTTACCACGCCTCCGCAGTACTGACTCGTATAGTAGACTGGTTCTATGGGTCGGACTGGAGGAGACCCTCACAGCGGGTGACTTACGGGATCTGCCCTGGGTGCCCCCTGGATCCAGACTGGTGCGCTCGACCCTGCCCCGTGTGACAGCCCAAGTCTTGAAGGTATGGGACCGTTGTGTTTCTAAGCACGCACTGTCAGCCTACATTGGACCGATGACACCCCTATTCGGGAACCCGACTTTTCCTCCGGCCGTGACTGGAACTTCGTTTGGTAAATGGACCAAGACATCCCATCGCAGGGTAATCTCGGCTCTGCAGACACAATCCCTTGCAGTGGGGATCCGCCCTGACCCGGGCCTTAGGGATTGGTTACCAAAGGGACAATTTTGTTCCTTTGTACCCTCCCTCCGGGGACCAGACAGTTTCGGCGGGGAGCCGACATAATTTGACTCCCTCCTCCTGGCCTTAACACCCCCATCGTACGTAGTTTCCCTTATCTACTCCCTGCTATCCCTCCTGGCCTCCCCGCTCTACCTGTCTATACGTCGGCCTGGGAGCATGAGCTGGAACTCACCTTTACGACCGGCGAGTGGAAAAAGTTGTTTGCTCTCACACACTCTCTGTCTGTTGCTAGGAAAGCCCACGAGAAAAACCTTAAGATACTCACTAGATGGTACAGATGTCCTACGGTCCGCCATCGGTATTACCCTACAGTGTCCGATTCTTGTTGGAGGTGCGGTGCCTCCCCAGGAAACATGACTCATATTTGGTGGAACTGTCCTCACTTTCCAGGATTCTTGCGGAGAGTATTGGGGATATACCACAGAGTGACAGCAACAGCAACTGCAAACGACCCCCAAATTCTGTTATTGTCCGTGATCCCTGGATCACTCAAGAAGGCAAAGAAGGGTCTTCTGCGACACTTTCTTACAGAAGCCAGGACTGTTATCCCACTTCACTGGCGTACATCGGTGATACCCACCCTCGCGGAATGGGTTGTGGAGATGGACCGCATTGCTGACCTAGAAGAGCTCTTGGCAGGAGAACGTGATGAGGGAGACAAATATGCCGGCACTTGGTCCGTCTGGATTGTTTAGGAACTCAAGACGGATTCACAGCAATCCTCTCTCCTTAAAGTACCTCCCCATCGATGTCGCTAGATGGCCCGGCAGGAGGCTACTGTCCCCCCCTACTAGAACCCCTCTCAACTATGCTCAACTGGGCTTCTCTCCTCCTCCCCTCCTCCTTCCCCTATGGCCGCCCCCCCAACTTTGTGTAAATTATGTCGATTGTCCACCCGATGAGCGTTACTGCCTAAACTACATAATGTATCCGCTTGAGTGGTTTATCTCCTACCCTGTCCTCCTGCCTCGTGTCAGGATGTGTTGGGAGGAGACGCTACAGACATAAATTTTTCTTATTATGCATTGTGCTCCGTGCAATACCACTGATGTAGATAATACGATACCGCTCAGATACCGATGATTATCCTGTTGATGATATCCAAAGGCCTATTAAATGAACACTTCTGAAATCAGAAAAGCTCATTATCACAATGGAAAGTCTTTAGGCTAGGTTCACATCAAGGCGACACCTCTTCACACGGCAATCGTGCACGCGGTCAGGAGTCGACAAGGGGTGAACCGATCACGCTGTGGGTGTCATTTTCTAATGGCACCCCAGTCACAACACTCGATCTTCCGCCGCGATTTTGCCCGTGCTACAACAGCCGTGCGTCGTGTGTTGCAAAAAAAAAGGTATATGTACTATTGTGCAGGACCGTGCTATTTAGGTACGCACGTCTCGGGTGTCGTGCGGTGTAGTGCAGGCTTATAACCTTATAAAACCAGTCCAAGCCATTCCACTAAACTGTAACTTGCAAATTCTTTTTGTAATCAAATCTCCATCCCCTCTTCTCTTTGTGTTAAAAATCAATGTACAAATTATGAATCTTTCATCAAACCCCTAAATTATTTTCCAACCTAATTTTAAATGCCAAAATAAAACAAAGTTAGTCAAATAGATTTAAGTTAACACATTCATTTTTAATGTTTCACATAACCAAAAGCTGGTAGAGATGTGTACGCTTCCTCAAGCTAAACAGTGTCCTTCTTTCCCACCTCAGATGGTTAGTAGTTAAGCTGGCCATACACCGTAATATTTTCTTTGGTGAACCTGCAGGCTGAATCAAGAAAATAATACAGATACCTCACGCAACGCTTATGCCCGCTGTCAGAATACATGAACAGAGCCATCAGCTCATTATCTACATTGACATTGGACTATCTACAGAAAGCATTACAGATATGCACATCCCTAACATTGCAGAAGGTGAATTTGTATGCTCCCTTTCGCTATTTATTTTGTATTTACATTCTGTAACTAGGTACCTAAACGCAGTAATCGTAGACCATCACAATTAACATGTTAAGAGGCCTGGAATGCTCCCATTGATTGCTCCCCCTCCAATCATCCCGAGAAGTAATAGACTTTACAAGGATCACTGCAGTCTGCTTCACTGAAATCATTCCAGAGTCACATATGCTACATTGGAACATGAGATGAAGCAGCTGGACAGCCAAACAAGTCAAAATTACTCTAATGTGATCATTTTTTCTTGTAAAAAGAAAATTATGGAAAGACAGAGACCAGAGCAGAAAAGACAAAGTGAAATTTGTCATACACGGTAATACGCTTGGGCATACAGCATTCCAGGACACGACGGACAGGAAGATTGCCCAGTCCAGGAACACGTATTGCCTCGGAGGAAGAACAAGAAACAGATAAAGTTTTGATAAAAATTTAAAACAAGGAAGACACATCACGTGTACCAAGCCCTGTGTGTGGGCATTAAAGTCCTGGTAACTATGATCTAATGTATGTAGGGCTGCAGCTAACGATTATTTTCATAATCAATTAGTTAGCCGATTATTGAGTTTGATTAATCGACTAATCGGATTTTTAAAAAAAGGGTTCAGTGATGGACTACTAGTTTCTATTGAGATTGTAAGCGGCGGGCGTAAGCGGCGTGCAGCGGCGAGCGGGAAATTTGAATTTTAGCCGATGAATCGACGATGGAAAACGTTGGCAACGTTTTCCATCGTCGATTTTAATCGACTTAATCGAATAATTGTTGCAGCTCTAAATGTATGTTCTCCCAACACATGGCAGACTAATCTATGGAATACTTATGACAGTCTCATTGTCACAGGTCGGCTAGAACTATGAGGTGAGTGAAAAGCACCCACCTCATAGTTCTCCTTTAATCTTAAAGTGACACTAAACTCAGGAGTTAAATCTTGAAAATGCAGTTAAGCACCTTCACTATTAAGAAAAATGTATCTTATTTGTGTATCACTCGGCTGTAGATCCTCAAATCATCTCTGAATTGGTGCTGACACTGTCCTTCCTTCTGCAGGGTGACTTATGAATTATGACCACCTGATGTTTGTAGGCTAATTTGCTATAATTGTGCACTGAAGTTGCTAGAGGGCCAGACCATTATAAATAGGGAAGCAGGTTGTTTACCACGACAGTAGAAGTGATTTTTTTCTGAAGATATGGGTAAACAACGCGATTTAACAGCCTTTGAACGTGGGATGATTGTTGGCGTTCGGAGCCATGGAGCGAGTATCAGCAAAACAGCAGAATTCATTAAATGTTCAAGCGCATCTGTTGTTAAAGTGTTTAAAGACTGGACTGTCAGCCGAAAATCTGGGTCTGAACGTGCGAATTGTGGCCGTCAGCGACTAGGCAATGTAAGGGCAGAACGGAGAGTGGCAAGACTGGTACAAGACAACAGAAGGGCAACAGTGCAGTGTCAGATTCCTCGTATCACCTTTCAACATCTTGTGGAGTAATGAGGCGGCCCAACAAAGTCATCTTGTGGAGTCTTCTCGTGGCCCAACGAAGTACTGATGGGGTGGTCATAATAATCTGGCCACTCAGTGTATTAAATTTTTGGATTTAGATACACAGACAATACCAAAAACTTTGAAGGCTTGTTCACACCAGATGACTGTGCTAGCAGCCTTGCCCAGCGCAAGGCGATCAATTTAAAAAATACATTCAAGTACCTTAACTATTAACAAAAAGGGTTTTTTGTTTGTGTATCACTCGGCTGTAGATCCTCAAATCATCTCTGAATTGGTGCTGACACTGTCCGGGTGACTACTTTTGCTCCCCATGGTCCCCGTGTGTGTTGTAAAGTAGTCACTTTACAAATCAAGAAACCAGACCTGAGATCGTAGTCCATCACAGGAGTGAGCTTGGAGTGGTGGCTA